CACTACTCGGTTCTCAATGAAGGTGTCAGAGCCCACTGGGGGGCCTCAGCAAACTTCCAAAAGAGCCAGAGAATGACTTAAATTTAAAGCTGCAGTTTTTCCTCTTTGTCGCCATCTCTGTTCGAAATCTGCAATTGCAGTTATTAGCGGAACTATCAACTTTACGTGAGTTGTACTTCGACACTGCACAGCGCGGATGAACACAATGTTTGAGGAGAGTGTGCAGCTGTCAATCACCGCGCCGGTGTGGATAGTGGCATTCAGAATCACAGATTATTCTTTTTGGAAGTATGACCAACATAAGAATTTTCTCCGGAAAATGTCATCTGAACTAGAAAGAAACATCCACTTTTGTTCTGGTTCTGACATTGCAGTAAATCGTGCTGATTAAATCTAACAATCGCTTATCATATCACATAAAACCGTGCAATTATACTTTGTTCTCAAATTGTTAATGTTCACAACGTCAGCATTGCGTGACTACATGTAATGTCCTTCCGATATTATCCTTGTTTTCGCATGGGTCCGGTTGCAGTCTCTTTTTTTCACTCCGAAGTCCGAACGAAGTCTTTTGCATTTTACAGCGGGTGAATCTGTTGTCACTGGTGATTGTCGTTTGAACCTTTCTGGATCCGCCATCAAATTGATAAGTTTAATTATATCAAGTGCTGTGAGAAAAGGCTATAAATCTCCACCTCCAACATCCTCACACGCAATATAGCTTATACTAGCCGAGACTCCTTCTTTATGTGTACAGATGTGACGTAATGACGCAAAGACATGCTCGAATCTCCCGCAGAAATCCACCAGTACCACTGGAATTAAAAACATTATTACAAGCTTACCCGTTTGAATCGAGCTAAGCCAAGCAGAGAGTTTTGAACACTGGCTGGTTATGTATTTTCTCAAATATGTATTTTGGATAAATTTTTACCCAAAAAAAATCTACGGACTGCAGCTTTAAAAAAAAAAAAAAAAAAAAATGTAATATATTTATTTGAATATATTAAATTATTATAATAATCATTAAATTACATAAACTATATATTAATAACAGTATTTTAATGTAATCAACAATAAGCAGAAAATAAGTAGCATTTATTGAAAATAAGCAGCATTGTCATAATTACAGCAGAAATGCCAGAGAAAATAACTAATAACTAATAATATACGTCCAATACGTGGGGCCTATATTTCCAAAAGCTGAGAAGCGCTGCTATTTGATTTCACTAAATGATTCTTGAGGCATCTTCATTTTTAACAACAGCATTTTTTACAAGTTTGCATAAAAGCTGTACTAAAACATGTCTGCTCTTATCTGCCAACAAAAACATAATTCTACGTCAATGAAATTCTGCATCAGAGCAACATTAAACTCTGCAGTAGTAAATTAGTGTGGGACTTGTTTTCTGAGTCTGCGCATAAGAATTCCCCAAAAATATAAAGTTCATGGAATTTATATTGTTGGTGGGTGGCCTTATTTAAGATGGTGTAAAATAACGTTTATTCAGGCTTTTTGTCCTTGGCTGTAAAATGTATCTGCAGGCTCCCACCTGTGTGTTTGAACAGGTGTAAACCAATGTTTCTCAATGGGTGGGTAACAGATCTGTTCTGTTGGCCTGTTCTGGTCTCAGACAGTATGGAAAAACATGCTACGTGCAAATAATAGAATTCAACGAGGGTATTATTTCATAATAAAAGTCAATGTTGCTTTGAGGACATTTTAGTTTACTCTCGTACGGTAAAAGGTTTTGATATCGTGTCTGCTTGCCACTTTACATCTAATGTATAATCTGGGTCCCGAAGCAAAATCAGAGTTTTGTGGTATAGATGTCACTGCAGATGTGCCCCTGTTCCATTTTTGAAGCATTGCAGCCTGGCATGGCAATTACGTGTGACCTGTTTTCCCCTGCATATGCTTTTAAATAAGAATTAATAACTTATTTGAAATAAAAAATGTAGAAATTTGGTGGATCAACCCAGAATAGTTATATAAAGAATTGGTGAATCATACTGTAAGCGCTGTACTTCTACTCTCACATTGATCTGCTCTAAAAAACACTATATGCACAAAAAACATCTCATTTTACTCTCTCTCTCTTTCTAACGTTTACTCAAGATTATGTGCTAATTTCCTCTTTACGGTTATGCACACTTCCACTCTGCTGAACACTGACTGCTCCTTAGCGCAATCCCTCATCTGCATTCACACACAGGTATTTAGAACATTCCAGCAGAATGTGTGTCAAAATGTGCATGTGAAAGACAGATCCCCCTCGACTCCTCCCCTCCTTCTGTTCTCCTCTTCTCCCATCTCTCTTTTCCCATCAGGACCCCGGCGAAGGCACGCAGTGCTATTTTTAGCATACTGGTGCTTTTTTATCAGTCAGTGTCTATTTGTGGCTCAAAAGAACTACAGAGGGCTTCCTAGCTGCTGACGTCAGCAGTGCTGTGCTGCAGAGGCGTACAGGACAGGGAGAGAGAGAGAGAGAGAGAGAGAGAGAGAGAGAGAGAGAGAGAGAGAGAGAGAGAGAGAGAGAGAGAGAGAGAGAGAGAGAGAGAGAGAGAGAGAGAGAGAGAGAGAGAGAGAGAGAGAGAGAGAGAGAGAGAGAGAGAGAGAGAGAGAGAGAGAGAGAGAGAGAAGGGGGGAGAACAAAGAAATGAGGAAAAGAGAGGGGGTGTGGTACGGAAAAATGGCAGGATGAAGAGACATGGAAGGATGGGGAGATAGAAATGAGCATAAGACGGTGAGATTGCAATGGTGCGTTTGCAATGGGCCTCAGGAGAATAGAGCGGTTCTATTTGGAGGCTGGTGATTTAAGAGCAGGTCTTGTGTGACAGGCGCGCGTGTGTCTCCCTCGTGCTGTTATAATAGTGGGCTGCATGGGGAGAGCTAGTAGGAGAGAATAAGGAGCCCCTCAAGAGAAAAGCAGGATTAGTTGAGGCATGCCAGAACCAAGCAAACTCCTGGGGATCTCTCTCACACGCGCACTCAGATCACATCACAACATGGATGTACATAAGACATACTGAGGCATGCACATTTATTATAGACTGTCTGAAACTCCCTTGTTTAGTTAGTCAATCTTTTAGTAAGAATGCAACTTTTATAAACCATGATGTCACATTACGCCACAATCTGATGATCTAAAACATTTAATTCATGTGATACAGAATCCTTACATTAAGGGAGAATTTGGTTCATAACACTGGATCAAAACGTTTTTTTTATTTATATATGAATTTGATGCTTTCAACTGATCTGTCAGAGGTTTTTACATACATTTTCAAAGAACTGCTAATTAATGCAACATCAGAATAATTGGCTTATAAGCTTAATACATTCGCGAGAAAGACTATAGTGGTCAAAGTCTGTTTGTTTTTACAAAGTCCTTTTCCATTTTGCAATGCATAGTCCCATCTAATCATATTCAGTTTAACTCGGGTAACATAGGTTTTCTGTAGTATTCTTTCAAACATTTGGGCTCAGTATGGCTAAAAATGAATAATACTTATTCAGAAAGGATGCATTACATTGATCAAAAGTGACAGTAAAAAAACATTTTAATGTTAATTTTCTATTTCAAATAAATGCTGTTCTTTTTAGATTCAGGATGAATGGCGTGCTCAATTCCTTTTGAGTTTAATTTGGGTGCTCTTCGGTCCAAGGTAGAACATCTTTAGAGACAGTGTAGAGAAAAGAAATCTCTGATGACCGAGGCACTCCTTAGTTAAAATGTCTTTATTGGAAAAATGACATGTCCTAAACGGACAATTTTAAAACACCCATTTTGTGATTTATAGTTTTAGTACTGGGAACCGTGTGAGAGGCGTGTCTTAGTAATTACCTGTGTAGACCTTCAACACCTGTATGATTACTTGCACCTGTGTTTGTTCCTACTAGTGTGTCTTTGTTATTATAAGATCAGTTTTCTATCTGCTTCACTATGCCCTGAAGAAGGCTCCATGCCGCTACGCGTGGGTGTTTTAAAATTGTCCGTTTAGGACATGTCATTTTTCCAATAAAGACATTTTAACTAAGGAGTGCCTCGGTCATCAGAGATTTCTTTTCTCTACACTGTCTCTAAAAATGCTGTTCTTTTTAACTTTCTATTCATCAAAGAATCCTGAAAAAAAGTCACGGTTTCCACAAAAATATTAAGCTTGACAACTGTTTCAATATTGATAATACATGTTTCTTGAGCAAAAAAAAAAAAAGCATATTAGAATGATTTTTGAAGGATCATGTGACACTGAAAAATCACAGGAGTAAATGATATCTTAAAATATATTCAAATAGAAAAGAGTTTTATAAAATTGTAATAATATTTCACAATATTAAACTGTATTTTTGGTCAAATAAATGCAGCCTTAGTGAGCATGAGAGGCTTCTTTCAAAAGCATTAAGAAAAACCTGGGCCTTCAATCTTACCCAAACTTTTGAACGGTACTATATATATATATATATATATATATATATATATATATATATATATATATATATATATATATAAGTCTTTTTTGCCAACATACCTCCATATAATGCCTGACAACGCATCATTCGCAGGTTTTGGATACATTCATTACAACATACATCAATCTCACACACACAAAATCAGCTGCCAAATCAGGTGTCAAATCGTGTGTTTCATTTCTCACTCCTCGTCCACCTGACAGCAACAAGACCATATGCTCTTCATCAATCCACCATTACCCTTTAAATACACACACTTAAACGGCATCAGCTGTTTATACGGTTCCACTCTCTAGTTTAACTAAGGTCATCTTCATGTGCATTTATGGAGCGGAGCAGAGGCTTCCCCTTCTCTGTCTCTCTCTCTGCCATTATCACAGGTCCAGTGACATCAGATCAGCATGGAGCAGAAGCAGCCAGGCTATGAGTCACACATAAACACACTCGTATCCTCACACACACACACACACAGTATGTTTCTCTAGGGATGGCAAACGCTTATGACTGATCAAATGCGCTCACTTACCTGCACCAAGAATATGATGAGGAAGTAAAAATTAGCAATTCTTCTAAACTGTTCGAATAGGTTCTTTGGCAGGAAGTTCCAAACGGTGTACTGAGGAAGTGAGAAAACAAAAACATGCAACAAGTTAAAAACCAACAAGCTGTCAATAAATTACTATAATCATTTTAAGTTGTAAAAAAAAAAAATAAAGGGTTATTTTCCTCAAAAATGAAAACTAAGCCATCATTTAATCATCTTCACACAAAGCTATTGTTTGGCTTCAGAAGACTTATATATAGTGTTTCTTAAGCTTATTAGTCCCAGTCCTCCTCGTTCACTTTCACTATATGGAAATGCAGCAAGGACACTGCAAAATAATACAGATTTTTTTTTTATGTGAACTATTCCTTTACAGCCATGTGATTGTAAACCTACATCATCCTGATGAAAAGCTGGAGGAAGGATTAAATGCATTCAATATTCATCAGCTCCTGTGTTTGTGCTTTTCTGGGAGAGGGAGCTGAGATGAGATGACTTCAATAGCTCTAGAGCTCTCTGATGTGTGTGACCGGGCAGCAGCTCTCTGGGCCAGCAGGTATTACATTGATTTGGATTAACGACTCATTGCCCGGGAACCCCAGAAAGGGGAACCGGTCACCTGATCCATTTGAAGGTGTCTCGCAATTTCTCCACTTCTCTTTTTAGAAATAGACACAACAGCAGAAGTGCACTAGTTTATTAATACTTAACATAAAATTTAAGGCCAAATCTAACACGAGCATATAAAAGAAAGCGTTTTATATTTTTGTTTTTGTGAACCGTTTTATTTCAAATAAAATGTTTTAGAGTAAAAAATTGAATTAATATTTTTGCAAGTGAATATCTGCTTGAATTTCAACTACCCAATAAGCCAAATACTCAGCAATACAACTAATAAATGCAAATACTGACTGGATAATGTGGAAGGGGAGACAGAGAAAGAGAGACAGAAAAATAACTGGAATATGGACAGCTATTTCCACCTAGTATAGCCATGACTGCTAAATAATGGATCGCCAAGAGTAAAGGAAAGTGAGGAAGGGCAGATTGAGGCACCTGCAATAAGATAAAAGGGAATACATCATCATTTATAACAGAGCAGATGTTATTCTGAGGTGAACTCAAGAAGATGTGGCAGGTCTGGACCTCTTTTAAAGGAAAAACTGGATCCAAGGGAGTTAGAGTGGGAAGATGCGAAGCAGATGCATAGAGAAGTGTAAACATTGCAGTGCAGGTAATTAAAGTGTGTTTAGAGTCTCATGCCAGAGAAAAATTGATCACCGTACACCACAACACGGCCACAGGTCTGATAAATCTATTACTTCTTACTCCCTCGTTTCTTCCTTTCGTATCTTAAAACACTCCTCATCTATCGACTGAATGAGGAGATTCAGGAAGTCCCACAAGATTAAGGGGGGCGGCAGAGTCAACCACCCTGAACACTTGAACTTTAATTGCAACTATGTATTTATCAGCCGGATCTCAAGCACTGCTCTGACAGGCAAATTAGGGTGTTTCATTGGGTGGAAGGGGATGGTAAGATTTACTGCAGTTTGTGAATAGCGTATAATGAAAGAATAGAGAGGGAAAAAAGAGAAAATGGAAAGAATGTAGTCTGGTCCCAGACGCAGTAGGGGGTTCCAACAGTCTCTTCACACCTGGAGGAACAGGTGGCTGAACACCAGGCCTTGAGAGAATCACGCTCCAGCCATACTCTCAACAAGCTGCTGTTACCACACATCTCTTATGTGTTAACGCTGCGCTGCAGTTGCCATGGCATTAAACAACACTTGCTAATTACGGGCTAAAAAAAAAATTACAAACAGGCTCTTGTAGGGAACAAACCCCCTAATGCTGTTATCCTGTAAAATCTGATTACACTGCGGCGAGCTTAAGTACAGCCCAGCTCATGCTTTCATATATTCGTGACAAGGTGTGATATAACAAATACCAGAAGTTACCTTGGAGGACACAATCCTATTGTCACAGAATTTGGAGGGGATGAAGGCCTCTGGGTCGGGACATGGCCGATGTCCTACATAGATTGTCCTGCTGTCCACTCGCTTCTCATCTCCTCCACACTACAGAGACACATGGGGAAAAAGGAAGAAAGAGAGAGAGAGAGAGAGAGAGAGAGGGGTCATTTACATGAACAGTTAACCCTTTAAGAACGACGGGAGCATCGGTGCTCCCGTTTGCGTGTCTCCGTTTAAGAGCCGATAGAAACTGAAACCAAATGGCTAGGTCGATAATTCTTTTTGCATACAAAATCAGAGACGTTACAAGTTCAGATCAAGCCTCCTACATGCTCCTGTTGCGTTGTTTTCACCCTCTAATGAGTCTGTACAAATTGCGCAACATTTGACTCCCATTTGCTGCCATATGAAAATGCTCAAAACTGCAGCACAGCATGTAAAAATACTAAGATGTACTCTGGCGGAATTGTTCTATGGCAGGCCATAAAGGGTTAAAAGTGACAAGTCTGACACAGAAACATCAGCTGAAAGCAATGGCAAAATTCTGACCAATGTCAAACAGGGAGCACGTTCAGAGTAACATGTTTGAAAACCGTCATTATTTTTGCTACTCAGCATGGTGACGCTAGAGTTGTTGTGAAATATTCTAATTTAAAATGTCGCCAAGGTAATATTCTGTAGTGGTGGTTATACTGCATGCACCGGATGCCACTGTCTTCCAAAAAAAAGTGTTTGCATTTATTAGTAACTTTCATTGCGTCACAATTTTAATTATTAGTTTGCATATTGTTTATCTAGTAAAAAAAAAAAATATATATATATATATATATATATATATATATAAAAAATGATATATATATATATTTTTTTTTTCTTTTTTTTTCTGAGGCACAAATATGTTTTTGTGGCAGGGCCAATTAAAATACTAGCAAAATGATTGAGATTAAAATAGAGGAAAAAATACAAACAACCCCTAACTACAATCAAACACGTTTTTGGAAACAACGGAACAGAACAGAGCTCCAAATTTACCAAGAAACGCAGCCAAGTTTAACAAAGGTCAGGAGGGTCAATCCACAAGCGGAAGAGTGATCAAGCTCCTGAGACTGGACAAGTTTGTTATATGACAGTTGAAAGATCTCACTCTTAGAGATGAAAGCAATTACACGATATATATATATAATAGCAAGATGGCAGTCAGAGCCATTTATTGCATTGTAAGTGTTTGGGTATTGTTGTGTGAAAAACAGAAAGGGAGTAGCTGGGGTGAGTATTCAGAAGTATTTAATGAACAGAACAGTTTTTCCTGCACTGCTATTCAGCAGAGACTACAGCATCACAGCAAAAGAAATCATATTTTTTATCTGAGTTGGGAGTTTGAAGTCTGAGCTGAATGTAATGAGACAAAAAGAGTACCGCAAAATAATATAACGATAACAAACAGACAGCATGTCTTTCTTTTGAGTTGCCCAGAAAAAAAAAGAAAAAACTAACAGGGCAGACCAATATAGTTTGGTCACGAGTCACGACTCACGAACAAACTTATAAGCGGTTTCTCACAAAACTAACAAGACTTACAAAACTAATTAGTTATCAGAAACGATTTGAAACTATCCATCAAACTTATTAAATTACCATTTGAATCACTTGCTGACAGGACGTTTGTGTGAGAACAAGGTTAAAGATACATATTTATTGTTTTATGTAATATCCCATTATTTTTAAATAAACTATCATACTAAACATCAAAATGTGTTAAACAATATATAGCATGTTTTGTTTAGTATGTACTTAGGACCAATTATGTTGTGTGTGGCAGAGGTTTGAGCCCACCCACTGAAAAAGTCCCTAGGAAACACTGAAACAGGTCTGTGTTTCCTCTGTGGTCAAGTTCGTGACCAGGGACATTCTTGTAGCATGAAAAGGGCAACAAGTTGACTCGGAGCTGTGTAAGCATTGGATTGCCGGAGGAAACTTTGGCACAAAGCACGCACGGTGACGGACAGCCAGGAAACTCTACAATGCTAAGCTACAGAAAAAAGTGTAAGGTACTTAAATGGGAATATCTTTTTAAATATACAACCTACCAGATGATGTTATTTAATTTAATCAGAGGCTAATCTTTCTAGCACAGAAACAATGAGGGTTTTTATAAATGAATGAACAAACGAAAAAACAAAACTCAATAGGGTGACCAACACATTTGACATTCAATTAAAATGCAGCTATAAAATTAGAATATGCCCTAATTTATATAACTGAGTGGAAAACCGTTTTCGTTTAGATTCACAGATTTCATTTACGTTCGAAAAAAACAGATTTACTTTTGGACTTGAATTGGACTTTCCAAAGCAACATGGGAAGAGAGAAGACCATTTAGATCTCAATTAACTGCAATGAATCAAAATCCCAGACTTTCAAGTTCTAAAGATGACAAAATGATTCACAAACCAGTGCTATACATCAGAACAGTTTAGGACCAAACGATTCACTAGAATAAATCTAGACTTTGCAATGTAACAAATGAGAGAGAAAACAGTTTCATACCAAATAATTTACTAGAATGAATCAGGGCTTTCCAGTGCAACACAGGAGAGATAGGACAGTTGCTTTTTAAAAATCTACATTTAGTTAGTCATACCCCAACACTGCCATTTTTGTCTCTGAGGGTTTCGATGAAGACAACACACACGGTCATCACATCTCAGCAGGCTTTCAGCATCACTTCAACCACACCCACCACCCACTCTTTCTCACCCCCACCCCCACCCCCCCCTTCCAGTGTTCCCCGGGACAGTGCAAGCAGCAACAGCACTATAACTGTTGGTGTGAATAATTCAGAACGCATTGAGAGAAAGAATGAGAGGGTTTAATGCGAGCCACAAGCTGAGAATATGTGTGTATGTGTGTGTAGAGTTCCCCTCTATCGTTGTGGTCGGGTCATCTGTCCCACACCTCTGCCCCCTCAGGTAGAGGGATGGTCGGCATCAGGCCACAGGCTAAGTGCTGTCACAACCTGTCCGGACATGTTCAGCAACGCGGCGACAGGACTTAACGGCATGTATCAGATAACACACTGATCCTGTGCTCAAGCATATCTGCCTGAATCGCTCACATCAGTGTATTCATCACCTGAGAACTCAAACACAGCGCATCAGTATGCGTCAGTGGTAAGCGATAACTCCCGTCCCTCACTCAGGGCCTCGAGGAACAAGAGGCTTGTGCGTATCTACTGCAAACTAGATGCAAGTCGCTCTCATGCACATCCGTGCTCTGAGTCAGAGGAGACAGCTATTTAAAACAGTCGACGACTGTTTCTCCTCCTTTCATCTGCATCATCTTCTCGTCTCCCACTGGATCTGCCCTCGATTCGGCTTCTTCTGAAAACGTAAGTGGCGGCGCAATGTGTGTATTCTTACTCTCCGGTCAGGAAGAGCCTGGGATTACGTAAGTTTTTGTGAAGCGTGACGGCTCTTCACACATCAGCGTGGCATGCGGTGTGTTACCAGTCCCGGATGAAGCAGGCTGGTCTAAACGGAGAGGGGAGGGGCAGGTGTGAGGAGAGAGGAAATGGCACAGGTTCCAAAACTCAGGGGATTGAATCCACCTCCAAATGCCACCCGGTGTAAAGGAACACAGCCCAGGGCCTCGGAAAGGAAAGCACACGGACCTGTGTAACATCTAAATAGAATTATAAGGTTATCAGAGCTGTGACGATGCTTGTGTGTGAGGGCTGCCGTTTCAGCGTTTCACAGAAAGGTCAAAATGCTACGTAAAAGTGAATGATTCAGTGAGGCACTTTAGGTTAGATGCTTGCTCAGATACGGTCTCTTCGTTTCATTAGTTATACATCAGCCACAGTCTGGCAAATGGTTAGGAAGAGGGGAAAAGGGCCTTTGGGAGGGAATCCACCTTGAATGACTCTACTGATGATGATTATTTTCATGCTGTCTGTGTTGTTTAGCACCTAAAAGAATTTTGCTGATGGTAATGGCACAAAAAAAAGGCTATTTCAGGGAAATAGCATCATAAAAACATGGCCAGACAAAGGCTGAAAGAAAGCATGTGGAAGGATTGAGACAGGGAAAAAAAGAGAAAAAGTCCATGATCACACAGCCTCCATTTACTAGAAAGTATCAAATCTGGTTCAGATACTGTTTCTATATAATGATTCCAGTTCCTACATGATTCGATTAAAGTTTCGAATCATTTTTTTTTCAACAACAAAAAAACACTCCAAGCCTCGCTTTTCATGACTCTCATGATGATCTTCATATTGCAGAAAAACGGATAACTTATAAGTTTGAGACAGATTTATTATTGAACTAAAACACTAAAAGAATCAGACTACACTGGCCAGGCTACTGTGAAGACAACACATTATAATGATGTTGTCAGTTTTTTGTTGTTGTTGTATTTTACATCATTCCATCTAATAACATACAATGAAAGAAACTTTAATATCATGAAAATCATTAATTTCACCCAACCAAACAGTGACAAATGCTGACATTATGAATCTGCACTTCTATTCAATTCTATAATGAGCCTCATTTGCACTCAAAAGGAGATGTGTTTCTCCGGAAATAATGACAATAACTTTTTAAAAATTCATGGTGTAGCACTGTACCAGCACATATGGTATGTGAATAAGACAAAGTGAGACGTTGAGTGAACTAGCTCCTCAGAGTCTCTGACAAATCAAGCAAAAAGGCCTTTTAACCCTCTGGGGTCTAAGGTGTATTTGGGGTCCTTGAGATGTTTTGACATGCCCTGACATTTGTGCTTTTTTCAGTTGCTTAAAAACAAATTAATGGCACAGGTGAAATTACACTATTTAGCACAAACAGGGCTACCATAATATGTGAGCCACATGTATGTACATGTTTGTATTTTTGAGAGAATATTGTTTATGCATGGTTATTGAAAAAACTAAAAATTAAAGTTTCTGAAATAAGGCCACAAAGCACACACTAAATATGTGTCCACAAGACTTTTGACTAATGGATGTTGTCACCAAGATTTTTTGCTTCAAAATGATCTGAAAATCATCCTGCCTAATCATTCACATAAAACAATAGATTGTTTTAAATTGTGAAAAACAT